ATCACCTATAGCTGACCTCACCTGTAGATTACCTCACCCTTGAGAGTCCAACCAATCACTTGACAATTATGTTATCCAACTCACTGTTACTATGCAAGCTTTGCAAAGAGCACAAGAAGGTTATATAAACAGCTTGGCTAGTCAATAAACTTCGAGATCACCCTCACCCTCCTGGACTGCCTGTCTTCTTCATTCGTCGCTACACAGCTTAACTTAGGGCTCTTCCACACAGCCCTGTATCCCAGAATATTAAGGCAGGAAATCCCACAACATCTGCTTTGAACTGGGTTATCTGTGTCCACACTGCCATATATTCCAGTTCAGAGCAGATATTGTAAGATTCCCTGCCTTGATATTCTGGGTTATAGGTCTGTGTGGAAAGGCCCATAGACTTCTAAACAACAAGGTCTCCTTACATCTTTAATTAATGTTTCAATCGTTCTTCCTCTATAATATCACTTTAAGACTTACAGCAATGCAATCATTGAAGTCTTGGTTAAATTAATGGCATGCTTTCTCCTATGAGTAGAATCCACCTCTTTTTCAATAGGCAGAAGCTGTGTGCTTGTTGACAGCTGCATCACTGGCAAAAGTCAATCAGGAAAGTTTTACACAATATCACCATTGTATCCCCTTATGTGTGAACCTCTATTCTTTAAAAATCTGCAAACAAAAAGTCACTGCATCCCAACTGTCTTCCTATACTAGCCAGGTCTCAGTATGTTGCTATTTGGGATCTTAAGACCATAGCTAGCTTTGCTCATGGAGGTTTCTCCCACAGGCTGAGAAGGATTGTTTGGAAGGAGTCCCACATGTAGTTTGGAGGGGCGGCCCATGGGAGGGACACAGGCATGACCCAACCCCACCTGATAAAAGAGCTCAGCAACTGGGCTGGTTGTTACTGGTCTACCTGGATGCTGTTGTGTAAAAGAAGGAACAACTGATTGCTTTTTGTTTCAAGAAGGTAATAGTAATGTTGGTGTGTTTGTGGAGAGTATGTGTTTATTGTAGAGCACTATCTGTGGGGAGTTATGTTATGCTGTGCTGTATCATAAAAGAAAGTAAGT